TGGAAATGTGCAGCTCCAGAGCCTGGGAATGTGCAGCTCCAGAGCCTGGGAATGTGCAGCTCCAGAGCCTGGAAATGTGCAGCTCCAGAGCCTGGAAATGTGCAGCTCAGAGCCTGGAAATGTGCAGCTCCACACTTTGCATCCCCCAGGGAGTCCCTGGGTGCTCCAGAGCCCACCCAGCCTCCCCCAGCCCTTTAAATCCTTGGAATGTGCTCATTCCCATCCAACATTATCCAAAAAATGGGAAATACCAATGGCCTCCAAACCCATGGAGCTCTGGAACAACCCTGGATTCTCTAATTAATCTGACAAAAAATGACCACAAAGGAATTCTGGGATGCTGAGATTATAAACACTTGAAACAATTCCCAGATTTCCAGAAACTTGGGAAAAACTCTCAAAAAGAAAGCAAACTACTTGAGAAGATCGAGAAGAAACATGCACAAAACCTAGTGTAAGAAAAAGAGTTAAGTTCCCAAAATTCCCATCATCTTTCCAACCCCGTTATCCCAAGGTTTTCCAAACACCCATCAGCTGGAGGATTTATGGGAATCAGAACAAGGAAAGCTTTAATTCCCCCCAGGATAATCCCAACAAGCTTTTTTTTTACCTGAGCAAAATAGAGTTTGAGTTCTTTTCCAAGGAATTCTGTCTTGTCCAGCTGGATCCTGGCTTCTGCTGCAGACAAAGGGTTGCTGAAGTTTATTCTCACCCTTTTGAAGCTCTTAAAATACTGAAAGGTGAGGTCCCTGTCGTAGGGTCGGAACAGGGATTCAAATTTGGCCTGGAGAAAAAGGAGCAGAGGAGAAAATCAGCATTCAACACTAATAAAGGAATTAATTAAAAATGAGAAGTTACTAATAAGGGCAAACGACCACTCTTGAATATTGATTCTTGTAACAGCTTCGTTTGTTTTCCTTTTTCTTTCTAAAATGAAGTTTTTTACCTTATCTCTTATTTCTATGTATCATTAAAATAGATTATTATTATTAATAAGTGGTATTATCACTTATATTATTATCAGAAATTAATGTTGCATAAGACACTCTTAATTTAGCTACAGAAGATATTGAAATGTTTCTTAGAAAATTAAAACCCAAAAACCTTGAGAATAAAGCCTGCCAAGCCTTTGCCCAGTTGTGCACATTTCAGTGGAACCAACACCAGTTTTAATAGAGAAAAATGAAATAATCCTGATTTTCAAGCAAAATGTGATTTTCTTCAGTGACTCAACACAAAGAATGAAGTCCATGTGCATCTCCTGCTTTCCTGCTATTTTTAATTTCATTTATGGAAAGTGCTTCCACTCTCCCTGCAGGATTCCAGGCCAAGGAGAGACACAAGAGCAGCCTCTGGAGCTGCCAGGCCCTTCCCAAGTGTTTTATTCCAAGTTCAGGATTCAAACTGGAGGAATTTCCAGGTATTTTCTCTCCATAAAAGCTTCCTAGAAACTTGGGATAAAGCCATAATAAACGTTACTCCATTGAGGGCTTTTTACTACAATATTTTGAATTAGTAGGGGAAAAAAGCAGGGAAATCACATAAGAAGGCAGAAATCAATTCACAATTTCATTTTCCTCCCTGAGAAGATGCACTTTACACACACACCACAGCTGGGTATAAAATAATTTTATTTCAAAGAGATTTTCAAAACAGAGCTGTTCTGCTTCTTCAGAATGAGCTCTGAAACAGAAGCAGGACCCTCCTCAAAATATTTAGGGTACCTCAAAATAAACTTTTGGTATAGCTCAAAGCTGAGATGGAACCATAGAAAATACACCAAAACTTGCATTTCAGAGTTCACATACTGATTTGAAAGACAGAGACATCTGGGTTGTTCTTTTGTTTTTTAAAAAATATTTATTTATTTATTTAAATATGTGATTATAGAGGTCAGAAATGTCAGTTTATCACTATGCCACTAAAAAAAAAAAGTTATTTTTGTCCTTAAGGTGTCTTAGCAGTAGCAGCTCACTATATCAGGACCGATAAATATTTTATATTCTTTTCTATTAACATTATTATTTATTTTATATTGCCAACCAGCTAAATACAGACCCAAGAGGATTTCTTATAGTGTTACCAGGAAAAAATAATCCCAGAAGTATCAAATGGATTACAAATTCGTGGATGTAGCTACCAAAATTAGAATTAAGTATTTGCTGATAATTCAGAATGGACTACAAATTCATGGATGTGGCTACCAAGATTAGAATTAAATATTTGCTGATAATTCAGAATGGATTCCAGATTTGTGGATGTAGCTGCCAAAATTAGAATTAAATATTGCTGATAATTCAGAATGGATTACAAATTCATGAATGTAGCTACCAAGACTAGAATTAAATATTTGCTGATAATTCAGAATGGATTACGCTACCAAAATTAGAATTAAATATTGTTGATAATTCAGAATGGATTACAAATTCATGGATGTAGCTACCCAGACTAGAACTACATATTTGCTGATAATTCAGAATGGATTACGCTACCAAAATTTGAATTAAATATTGCTAACAACTCAGAATGGATTACGCTACCAAGATTAGAGTATTTGCTGATAATTCAGAACGGGTAACAAATTCGTGGATGTAGCTACCAAAATTAGAACTAAATATTGCTGATAATTCAGAACGGATTACAGATTCGTGGAGGTAGCTACCAAAATTCAAATGAAATATTGCTGATAATTCAGAACGGATTACAAATTCGTGGATGTAGCTACCAAAATTAGAACTAAATATTGCTGATAATTCAGAACGGATTACAAATTCGTGGATGTAGCTACCAAAATTCAAATGAAATACTGCTGATAATTCAGAATGGATTACAAATTCGTGGATGTAGCTACCAAAATTCGAACTAAATATTGCTGATAATTCAGAACGGATTACAAATTCGTGGATGTAGCTACCAAAATTCGAACGAAATATTGCTGATAATTCAGAATACACCACACAGCTGAAGAAGTCTGGAGGGAACAGCTGAGCTCCCAGAACAATGAGGTTGGACAGATCATTTCCCCAAGCACACAGAGGTAAAAGTGAATAATTCCCAGAGCTAGACTCACTCCCACCGGAGCAGCCTGGTGCAGACTGCCAAGCTCCAAGGCTTTGATGGCAAACTGGGATTTCCTTCCAGAGGAGCAGCAGCTCCCAGAACAGCCCCAAACGCACCTACCCTGGTTTCTGGCTGGGTGAAGACCTCCCCATGTGGCAGGCAGGCGATGAGCGAGCCGAAGGTGTAATGGAAATTTCGGAAATGCATTTCGGGCCGAGCCCCGGCGATCCCGCAGGAATCCCGGCGCTTTGGGCAGCCCTGCGTGCTGCTCCCGGCCTTTATAGGGCACAGCCAGCCCAGCCCCCGGGGAAAAAACCCTCCCCGAGCATCCCGACAGCGAATTCCTCAGCACGGCCCCGCATGCTCGCAGGGAGCCGGGAACAAAATGTAAGCGGGACTGGAAAGAGGTGACGTCAGTAATTAGTCAGCTTCCCTCTGCTAATTAGCGGGAGCATGGAAAATGCAGCTGAGCTGACAGGGCAGCTGCTGCCCAGCCTCTTGCAGCATAGTTTCCACTGGCAGTAATTCCATGCAGCTCCCGCTCCGCGCATGGAAAATGTTCCCGCCTGGCCACAACGCTCCGGGATGGGCTGCAGGGAAAATGCCGAATTCCCCGATTCTCTGGGCACGGAAAACAAATCCTCAGCTCGGTGCCTGTTCAGCCGAATTCCCCAATTCCTGATTCTCTGGGCATGGAAAACAAATCCTCAGCTCGGTACCTGTTCAGCCGAATTCCCCAATTCTCTGGGCACGGAAAACAAACCCTCAGCTCGGTACCTGTTCAGCCGAATTCCCCAATTCTCTGGGCATGGGAAACAAATCCTCAGCTCGGTACCTGTTCAGCCGAATTCCCCAATTCTCTGGGCATGGGAAACAAATCCTCAGCTCGGTTCTTGTTCAGCCGAATTCCCCAATTCTCTGGGCATGGAAAACAAATCCTCAGCTCGGTGCCTGTTCAGCCGAATTCCCTAATTCTCTGGGCATGGAAAACAAATCCTCAGCTCGGTACCTGTTCAGCTGAATTCCCCAATTCTCTGGGAATGGAAAACAAATACTCAGCTCGGTGCCTGTTCAGCCGAATTCCCCAATTCTCTGGGCATGGGAAACAAACCCTCAGCTCGGTTCTTGTTCAGCCGAATTCCCCAATTCTCTGGGCATGGAAAACAAACCCTCAGCTCGGTACCTGTTCAGCCGAATTCCCCAATTCCTGATTCTCTGGGCATGGAAAACAAATCCTCAGCTCGGTACCTGTTCAGCCGAATTCCCTAATTCTCTGGGCATGGAAAACAAATCCTCAGCTCGGTACCTGTTCAGCCGAATTCCCCAATTCCTGATTCTCTGGGGATGGAAAACAAATCCTCAGCTCGGTTCTTGTTCAGTCACAGGTGGAGATTCAGAGATTGATTTGGAGAAATGATTTTTCTGCCATCACAAGGAGGATTCGTTTGGGAGCTTCTTCAAAGCAGCTCTGTGGATTAATTGCGGTTCTCGTTCATTAAAAACTTTCCCAGCCTCATCGAGCAGCAAGGCTTTTGGCAGGGGTTGGTTTTTGGTTCTTTTTCCTAGCAGGAGCCTGCTCAACAGGGTTCCACCAGAACCTGAGACAAGCAGCACGGAGCAGCTGTGCAACCTCAATTCCTGACATTTGCTGGGACACCTGAATCCCCAACATTCCCCAAAAAGCAGCACAGAACACAGGTTTTGTGGTCTTTTCTTATGGATTTTTTTTTTTTGAGGCTGGTGGAAGGTTTTTTTTGCTTTGTGTGTTTGTTGTTTTGGTTTTTTTTTTTAAGTAAGTACCACTAAAAAAAAGCTCATCACCATTTCAAGTGATTAATGAAGTTTAAACTGAAGCTTTCACAAGCTATTTGAAACTCTCCCATGCACATGCAGCTCCAAAATTATAACACAGTCAAAATCTTAAGTTAAGCCTTTAGTTAATTCTGTTTTAACACAGGGCTATGATAGAAGCACCACGTTTTAGGGAATACCTGCAAACAATGCACAGTGCTAAGTTTAAACCTGATTTCATCAGTATTTAACTACACAAAACTTTCCACATGAAGACTATTCTCCATTTTTAGGGAGTCAACTTCCTAAATCCCCATTTAAAGTCTCTGCTGTTCTCAGGTTACCTCAGTGTAAAAGTTACCACAGCACAAAAAGAATACTTAATACAATTTCTTAGAACCTTTTCTTGGAAGTCCTCACTTAAAAATCCCAGGATCACTGAAGCTGGAGAAACACTTCAAGAGTCCCACCTGTGGCTGAATCATCACCCACCTTGTCCCCAACCCTGAGTGCCACATCCAGACATTCCTTGCACACCCGCAGGGATGGGGACCCCAAACCCCCCTGGGGAGCCTTTTCCAAGGCCTGAGCACCTTTTCTGGGAATAATGGGATGAATTCCTTCAGTGAGGATGGGATGAGAGCTCTGCACAGGGCACACACAGAAATTCAGGATTCACAGGCAGCCCTGAGAGCCCAGCAACCACAGCGAGCACATCCTAAATCCTGTCCCTGACCTGGAATTTCTGTCGGGTACCCTCAAGCCTTCGGATGTGGAAGGGGCAGGTGTGACTCCACGGAGCAGAGGTCGGGATGCTCACCTGGAAGGAATGGCCGTGACTCACCTGAGCACAAAGACAAACAGGCTGCCCACGTGGCAGGGAAGTGCAGCTCCTGATAAGAGAGCAGAGCAGGTTCCTGCTCTCAGCTGCAC